AYKYKAAAAAAAATTGACATACAGAAAAATAAACAGGTGATTGCATCCTGATTTTTTGAATAGAACATTGTATTGTAAATAGCTGATAATTTCCATGTTTTCCTTATTTTCTTTTTGAAATATGTAAATATTGATTCTGGAATTTTGTTATATAAAAGAAAACTAAGATGCGAACATATAATTAAAATAAATGAAATATTTAAAATTTAAAAAAAACCATGTACAGTTACCGCTTTTTGAATGAAGGCAAATAAAGTCTGCTGTTTAATTAACTAATTCGTGATATTTCCTTTGCCCTTTGGGGTGGAGGACGAGTGGAGGACTGGAGAGAAACCTTAACATGTGTAATGATTCAATGCCGGGCTTCCTGTGGAGAATCAAATAATTTGACTTGATAGTTTTAAGTCTCTCATTTACGCTGCCTCTTATTCAAACTTCTCATTTTCAAAATTCTTAATTAATGAAATATTTAAAACTCAAAAGTGGCGAAATACGTATTCCCAGCAAAGAATTTGTCGAGTCACAGGAAGTGACGTAGTGATTATGGTAATGTCTTTTGTTGGTTCGGTAAAAGCTGAGAGTCGGCACGATTTTACACAGTATTGCTGCTGCGAAAGACTGGCTTCGGTTGCTAATATATTACGCTYATGTGAAGGACAACGACTTCTAAAGTCCTTTTAACTAAAGTCATGCTTTCAGGYCGCCATCTTTTGAGCTCCTTGTCGAGATGCAGTCGTACTTTGCATCCAACATGGCGGACCAGATTMTCCAGGGTTTTTTGTTCTTCCACGGCTCCTGAAAAACCTTACAACGGTGAGACATCTCGAAGTTTTTGTAAGGTGTCTTAGCTAATTTATGTCAGTAGGATTGAAATAGTGCCTTGTAGTTTGTCTTACAGGATTTGCATTAACTTAACTAGCTATATTTGTTTGTTTCTGGTCGTTGTTGTTTTGAAGAACATCATTTCATCGTAAGCAAGTTAACTTAACTTATATTGATGAAATTTTCTATATATAATAATAATGTATATAATAATATGTATTATTTACTCATGTACTATGTATCAAGGGAAATGGAAAATGTTAAGTTATATAAATCATATAATAATATTCTCTACTTAATTGTGAAACTGTGAATTAAAAAAAATTCAAGGAAAATGGAGCTAAAATCAGTTAACCTTTTTTTTATAGAGACAACTCGCAACATACCTAAATACCAGCTTCAACCAATTGACAAATTCTTTCTTGTTGTAACTGGAACAATGAAACGTGGAGAAATTCCAGATGAAGTCAGGTCAGTTATTACATGATGTTTTTAATCCCTCACATTTGACATCCATGTCCTCCTTCAGGATGATAAAACAAAATTGTTTTTCTCTATTTGAAGTGAAAGTCTCACATTTGTTTGTAGCTTAGAATAAGCTGCCTTTCCTTGAACTTCAAGTCTTTTTTCCTTTTTGTTACAGCTTTGAAGTGGTAGAAAAATCCCAAAACAGAAGGCGAATCATGGTGAATATCCTTACGATATTTTTGACTATTATTGGGAGTGCGTTTGCTATTCATCAGGGCAGAAAAGCAAGGGACTATCACACTGAAGACACCATGTTTGAGAAAAATGTCAAAAGATATGAAAAACTACGAGCAGAAGATGCTAAGAAAGAAGCAGAGAAGGCAACAAGTTCATAATAAAATGAAAAAAAACAGCGTATGAAACTTTTACAAGAAACAAGTTATAGAGTGTTGATCTCTCTACAATTCATGTGTTTATAATATTTACAAAAAGAATCAGGAGTATCCTTTGAAAAGCATTTCCCAAAAATTGTGCATCATTTCCTTTGAATATCAAAAAATCTTGTCTAATATGCTGAATATGATCATTATAAAAATATAATTTCCATTGCATTTTGAGTGAACTATTTGAGTCATGATGTTTCCGAGCCCCTGGAGTCTGCACCATGTACACCATGCCAAATTGTAGTTAACTGATTTGTTGTTAAGAACTTTCATTTTTTTTTTCTCTGACAATACACAATTGTTTTTATTTGGTTTTTATTTACAAAATGAATTCATYCAATTCATACACTGGATTTTGAACCAACTTTTCAGTGAATTGTTAAGAGTGCATAGCAAATTATATTTGTATTTTAACGGTTGTAAAACAGAGGTTTATTTGTTACATGGTCATATGTCAAAATTAAAAATGTCATTTATTGATAAAGAAATATCTTGGATATAAGTCTGATGCATTAATTGGCTCAAAAGCTTAGCTTCCATTTGAAAGATTATCTTCAAAATACATAAATATGTCTCATAAACCTTTCTTATACAGCCCTGATATCACTGATTGGCTAAATTGTTTGATAGACAAATCTCTTCGTTGATTGGCTGATTAAGAATAACAAACTGCGCATGTCTTTGGGCAAACATGTTGTACAGATATGAAATCAATGCCATATTTAGAGTTCTTGTTGCATAGMCCTTCAGAACCCCAGCTCTTGCATAGTACATGGTGATCTTTACAATTTACTGTAAAATTYAAAAAAAAAGATAAAATAAAACAATTGTCTGAATTCAAAAATAAAAGAGAAGTGAAACAAGTAAAAAAGGAATAACGTGAAATAAGAACACTAGAGTGACGTGGCCACTTACGTCTTCGTAGCGTCTCGTTACGTACTTTGAGTACAAAGAAAGGCACAAATGTCATACTGTTGTCATGTTACGTATGGTTGTGTGCGCAACGTAATGCAAATTCGTTACGAAACGGACAATGGTGACTGAGTCCCATCATTAGGTTGTAGCGTTTTGTAATCGTACGTTCCGTTAGGTGCGCGACGTGATGCAAATTCGCTACGAAAACGGACGAGAGTGACCGAGTCATGTTTTGTTGCGGCTTTTTTGTACTCTTACGTATCGTTGGGTGCGCAACGTAATGCAAATTCGTTACGAAAACGGACTAGAGTGACTGAGTCCCATGATTTGGTTGTAGCGTTTTGAAATCGTACGTTTCGTTAAGAGCGCGACGTAATGTAAATTAGCTACGAAAACGGACGAGAGGGACAGAGTCATGATTTGTTGCGGCTTTTTTGTACTCTTACGTATCGTTGGGTGCGCAACGTAATGTGAATTTGCTACGAAAACGGACTAGAGTGACTGAATCCCATGACTTGGTTGCGTTTTGTATTCGTACGTATAATCATTTACACGTACGTAATCGCWATATTTGCAATACGTACCATCTAGRTGATGACCATTGATATTTTCAATTACTGATCGATAAACTGCTTTTTCGTTGTGGTTTTTAGTAAAGTTTGACAGCAAGAAGTGTAGTTTCTTCTTGATGTCCTGAAAATTTTAAAAAATGATAAATAAATAAAATAGTAATAATAATAATTGAGAACTGGCATACTTAATTCTGTTAGTATTATAAACAAAAGTTATGAAAAGACTTGCGTTAACAAATTATGAAGCACGCAAGGATCGGTAAGGAAAACTCGCGAGAATTGTGGTAAGCACTCGGCTTGGTTTCGTTCTTTGCCAAGTTTCTCGTGTTGTCGCTTGTGAACCATTTCCATCAATAATCATTAAAGTATTTTCCTTAATATTGTACTTACTGCTTTTAGTAAAGCTCGTCTTTTTGCCTTGACCTTTTTAAGATCGGTCTTTTTGACAGACTTAGTCGACGATTTCTTTTTCTCAAGTTTTGGYACTTGGGCTTTTATTTGTGAATCGCCGGTATCGTTAAATACACTCTTTTGCGAAGGGGTTGGCTTGTCCACGTGCTTCTTAACTGAATAATAAAAGTAAAGTATCAGTCAGACAAAATAGGAGAGTTAAGAGAATAGTTCGAGAACACATATCAASTGTATTTGTTATTGATACATGTAAAATGTAGCGCTAAATGTATGTACATATGTCGTCGTTTAAAAATATTTTTGAGGCTTTTTCTCRAATTCCAGAGATGAATGGACATRACCTTTCACAACTGCAGGCTTAGCTGCAGGCTTTTCTAGTTTACCACCTGCACCTAAAATAAATAAATGAATAAAATAATATCATTTGATATTCTAGAGTAGAAAACTGGGATACAAGTATGTGATTATCTTTCATTTTAGGACCAATATTTATTACAATATTACTGAATGTTGTGGCTACTGTCTTTTTAAAGGCTCAAGACACTACAGCTATTTTAAAAGATCTTTGTTGGTTGTATTTTTCATATTTATACGTAGTTTTTTGTAACGTCTTTGTGTTCCCTAAAGATGACCGCTTAGGTCGAAAGCTTGGAAAGAAGTTTAAATAATTCATGGTTGATTAAACAAACTACAGCTATTGTTTGGCGTACGAACGCATGTCCGAAGTACGTATTAAAAAAAATTAAATAAGATTAGAATGGCGATTGCTTAGAAGTTATCGATTCTATGTTTGTCTGCCAGGCTTTCTTTCTCGTTCACAAACCTCTGCAAAGCTGCGCCGACACATATGGACGTAGTAGACTGAGAACCTCGTATTTCGTAGCCATCACGTGATCACCGTATGGCGCAGTCGACATAGTTTTCAGCTCYACGCCATTATACTTGTCTCCAATGCCCAGCGAGAACACCTGCACTCCCATGTCTCTTAGCGCTCGTGATGGAAGATCGACATTATCACGTGACTTTCCACCACTTATAAAGTAAAGGATTTTGGGAACGTCGTGTCGACCACTGTTCTCGAAAACTCCTGTGCGAATTGTTTTGAGGCAACCGCCTATAATGATTTGTAAGGTTAAGAGGTTAGTCAATCAATCAATCAATCAATCAACATTAAAGCCATCAATGAATTACTCAATCAATCAATCAATCATTAAAGCCATCAATGAATTACATGAATCGTTTTGAAATACCTGTGAATAATTTCCCATTAGGATACGATAGTGACTGCATTGCTGTTTTCATGCCCTTGTGATCATTAAAAGCTTTCAAATCAAACAGAATATGAGGTCGTTCCGAACACACAGTCAGTGAGATATGCGTCTGGTCACGTGACACTGTGAAGGACTTGATTAACTTCTTCACAAACTTGACGGATTTGTGGAAATGTTCTTTGCCAACTTGCTTCGATCCATCGAGGAGGAAAGCTATATCTACTCTGGCCTTGCATTCTATTAATACATAAGAGATAAATAATTGGCATGTGCTAAACAAATTAATCACTGAGTGACACGTGTCAATTAGAAACTGAAGGCAATATGGGAACTCGCTAAATGTTCTCACTAAAAGATGGACTTCGGTGTAATTATCAAGAGGGCTAATATATTTTCTCTCTTTTTCTCTCTTTTAGTTAATTAATGTACATTGGAAAGGGGCTTACGTTTTCCAATAACGTCAGTRGCTCMTTGGGTATGTTTGTGATGAGGCTTGGAATCTAGAAAAGATTAAATTATATGAAAGTAACACCGAGGTCAGTATAAAACGAACGGGGATGTCCCTGCAGAAGAAGACTGAAAGGGATAATTGGAATGTGAATAATATTTGCCTTCGCCTAGGCAGCACCGTTTCTGAAGGTCATGAGAAAATGTGGAGACTGTGTTAACTTTCATTTTAATAACTGTACCACTGTTTAATCTGTACACATGATATTATGCTAGTTTTTAACCTTCCCATGCCCTCTTTCGGTTTAGCGTAGATGATGTACTAGCCGTTTTGGACCCACAAGAATTTGATTTTGATAACAAATAAACTTTACCGTCGTCACTTTCTTCGTCGTTTTTCTCATCGCTACTTTTTTCTTCGTCTACAAAATTAACGATTATTCAGGTTTAATATACAACAAAATTTATGCTTATTGCTGTAGACAAAAGTATTAGCAGTTATCAAAATACTATCGATATCCCATTAACTTTTACAGAATCGCATTTAAAATTGTAAGATTACAAGTTTATATTCTTTCACCTTCACTATCACCACCAAATAGCTTGTTTTCTAAAGAAAGAAAGAATTATTGATATAACCACTCAAAATTTGATCAAACAACTGCAATAACCTCTTTCARGGTTRCCTGRGCCATCTTGAAAGGTATCTGTACCTTTGCATCGAAGCGAGACGATCATTGATGATCGTGCAATGATAGACACTTTGAGAAAACAAGAAAAGGTTTCTATGATTGCATGGTCAACTGTCCTCTCGCTTCGATGCAAAGGAATAGCTTCCCCTCAAGATGGCGCAGYGTACTGTAAAGGTTACTTCAGTATTTTACACAGATTCAATCTTAGCTTGCGTAGCCAGGCGATCCAAGCCATACGGCCCAAACTCTCTCGGAGCGGTTAGGAACGTCTGGTCACGCAGGCTAATTCATGCTAGAATATGCATATATAGTATGATATCACTGAACGTATACACTGTGCTATCTTACGGATGTCGTATTCAAGGCCCTCATCGCCATTTTCTTGAACTGAGGAGTTCACAGCTAAGAAAAGATAAGAGTGAAAACATAATAAGATTCATATTGTATTCTACTATAGCCTTAAATGCTATATACAAACCTCTAGGCATGGATACTCTCTTGGCAGGACTTTGATAKGTTTCTGTAGACCGGACAAGATCTATAAGACAAACCATTTCAAATGATAAGACTATCGTGGTGTGCGCGGGGATTGTGTCATCCTCCGCATGCATTTAACCGAGGACAATCTGAATATTCCATCTGTATGGTATTGTAATATTAGTTTCAACGGCGTGCAACAATAATGCATATCTTTCAATTATATGCATCGATGTTTTTTTTCTTAAAAGTACAAATTTGAACTTGTTCTTTCAGTACTTTGGCATTTAAAAGCAAAGGGATCCCGGCCCTAGCTACAATTAGCTACATCTGATGGAACTAACTTATGACCCATAACTTGAAAGACACTTTCAAATTTTGTTGCTTGACATGACGTCTTTACGCATTGAGCAGTTTAAATCCAAATTCTGAGAGCGCCTTTCATGGTATTTCATTATAATTTACAACTACTACATGTATGTTATAGTTTAATTTATTTTCATATCTTTTTTAAAGGTAAATATATGCTTATTTGGAAGTGAATTGCCACTGCCTAAAGAAGTACAATGATTGTAGAAATTTCTCCAATTAAGGCACAAAATGGCTGATGACAAATATGTCCACCATGACAGTACAAGCAAGGTAAGACAATGCAGGAATTCGCTTCAGTGTTATTGCCAGTCTAAAATTAACTATGGCGTTGTTTATCAAAAACAAGTTCTAGTTCTTAGAAAGGATTCCGGGCTAAAGACCCTCGGAAATAAATTCGGAAAAATTAATGTCCCGACCTCGCTGGGATTCGAACCCACGAACTTCAATTTATACTACAGTATATTAGCGGCGCCCAGTTTCCACAGATGTTTGTCAGATTCTGTGTATAGACTCTATTATGGTATTAGATAAAAAAATTACTCAAGACAATGAAACATCTCTTTTCAAAATGTTCACTGATCAACATCATCTCCATAGATTTCTTTTCTAAAATAAGGAGGCGTATGATTTTTGTCAAAGTACTTTTCATAGAGTTTTAGCGTAATTTTACGAGAAAAGGATTGCCAGTCCATAAAGTCACCGTAGAATGCATGMTCACTGATTGGTTGACTTGCTTCAGCTTCGATCTGCCTTGGTGAGTAGTACTCTCCCAATCCAACAGAGTACAATTCCATTCCTGCATTTCGAAGTTCGCGAGCTTGGTATTCTACCTGTTCAGGAGACTTTGTCTCACTTATGATAATCCCTACTTTAGGAATGATCTGCCTTGCGTCGGCTTGCAATAGAAGCTTTCTTGTACGGCGCAGTGAAAGGGCCATATCGGCGAATTGAGAAGGTTTTGGAATATATTTCTGCATTGACATAAGTTTTGTAATAGCCAGCATGATTCGTTTTCTYGGATATTGGAAAAATGGGATGAGGAAATGAAAGTATTTCGACTCCATGTTAAAGGCGATGCGAGTGCGGTGTTTCCCAACTGGTAGTGACTTTACAATAGAAGCCATAAACATGGCCGTCCTCATCCAGTCGATGTCGTTCATTTTACCAGAACCTTGAATKACAAATGCCAAGTCCAACTTGTTCGGCTTACAACTCACTCCTACATCAAAAATAAACTCAGTAACCATATGATGTACTCCCTTTGTTGGGGACTGGGCCTCTGGCTTGGCATTCGTCCTGGTTCACACTAGCTTTGGAAGCTTGATTACAAGCAGAACAGTCGCTGAATTCGAACCGGAGTCACAGTGCATTGGAAGAAATCGATAATGTATATCCTCGCAACTTGGAAACATTGGAAATCAAATATGAAATTGGACTTTTTATCTGGTGCTCTTGAGTTACATTTATATATAAGCAATATTATGATTGCAGACAAGAAATTCTGAAATTAGTTTATAGAATCCGAATGCGAATAATAAGAAGTTATTCYGTTTACATTCGTTTTGTCTGGCAGATATTTGGAATTAACTAGGTCTTGATTATATTGAAGGTTTGAAAGCATTACCTTTCGAGTGGAATCGCATTATATAGCATTCAGTAGTATGCTTTAGATTGATGGAATGCCTTCTGGTTATGTCACAATGGTTTGGTCATCCTGGTTCACACTAGATCAAAACACTAACAACTTTTTTAAGTGTTTAACTCATGTAATCGTTGAAAGAAATGCTYCTTATATTTTTTWWAKAAAYTTCAACGCCGGTGAAGTTKAACGTCGATTGTGYATTGTCAGAAAATTGAAAGAYTCCATTTGCAACGACACAATCGTATCATGTTTTTCTACAAATCACCCAGTGAAAAGTTACTGTCAATATACAGTGCAACAGCAAAGTGTATCATTATAATCTCTTCCGTTTGAGATTGTATGATGTCGATCGATGTATAAATCACTATAGCGTCACTTTCAGCTTTAGGACTAAAGTGTCATGATGTCAAAGATCCAGTGGCATGCCACYCCGAAACTTTCGGAAAACACTAGATGGAGTGTTGGTGGTATGGGTAAAAGTGGACAGAATCTTCTGAAGTAGACCTGATGAGTAATTTCCATCATTTGAAAGTGGTTTTATCTTTTTTAATTTCCATGCCATTGCGATTGTGACTCCGTTTGCGGTTCACTCGACTCTACTCAGTATGAAACTAGTGTGAACCAGGTGAGAAGCCCTAAACGAAAATACGTCGAACCTGAGGCCGTATACGCGGCTTTTGGGACACTACAAAATGTACAGTGAAATATATAGAAGTTACTAACTGACGGCCTGCCTAAATCATCCATAAGACATAGTTAGAACTGCGGCAGAGCTTTCAAGCTGAATGTCTACGACAGGTGTATCTATATTTTAAGGATGACTTTGTCTACATTAATAACCTGTCAAAAGGCTTGTGTACTGTTATGCAATGATGCTGCTCTTGTGCAAGCTTAACTGGAAAACTTAGCTTCTGTAGATCTGTTGTATGCAATATTATTGGACGGTTTTTTTTTCTACATACCTGGTAGTGGCATCTTTGGCTTTAGTGTCTTCACTGTCTTTGCCAGTAGTTTGATCAAGCCATGCCTCTTCTCTAAAATAACAAATAAGTTATGATATGATTTTTCATATTGTACAAAGTAAACTAACAGATTTCAAAGTGAATCAGGATTTGTTTAGAAGATCTCCACTATTAAACCAACTGAAAAAGTTTCAGGACATTAACATTCTGATTTCCAATTCAAACTTTGAAAGAATTATYGGATCMACTCACTTTTSTTTTTTTTAGAAAWCTTTCGTTTTTTTCCTTTAGGTTTTTTAGGCGATGATTTTTTAGTGGATGACTTCTTGGATTTGTCTTGATCTGGACTATCTGGACTTGACTCATCAGGACCTTCTTGACCTGGACCATCTGGGCTTTCCTCATTAGCCTCCTCTGYAGCAGGACTATCTGGACTCGGTTCTTTAGGTGTCTCTTCAGCACTGTTATCTTGATTTGTCTCTGGTGTTTCTGTAGCAGGGGTATTTGGACTTATCTTTTTCGGTGTTTCTATTTTGGTGCTGTCTGGACTTGGCTCATTAGGTGTCTCCTGAGAAGGACTCTTTGGAGTCTTATCTTTCGGTTGACCTTTCTTGGTGCTTATTTTTTTAGCTTTCACTGGTGGAGGACTATCTGGAGGAGGTAGGTCCGATGGTAGCTCTTCTACAGGAAGTCCTGACATGGGCATATCTGGCGTTATTTTTTCCTCTGATTTTCCAGATTTCACCACATCTGATTTTGTTTTGGATTTTTGGATTTTCTTCTTTTTGGGCTTTTCTTCAGCTGGTTTGTCTTTGTTTGAATCTTTAGGAGGTTTTGGTTCAGGACTATCTGGACTTTGTTCCTTTGATGTCTCTTCAATGGGACTGTCTGGACTTTGTTCCTTTGGGGTCTCTTCAATGGGACTGTCTGGACTTTGTTCCTTTGGGGTCTCTTCAATGGGACTGTCTGGACTTTTGTCCTTTGGAGTCTGTTCAGGAGAACTATCGGGGCTAGGTTTATTTGAAGTTTCTTCTACTGTATTGTCTGGATTTGGTACTTCTGAATTTGGATTGTCTGAATTGGATTCTTTCGGTGAAGCTGGGCTGTCTGGACCAGATTCTGTAGAGGTCTCCGGACTGGGCTCATTGGTCTTCTCTGGAGTGGGATTGTCCGTCTGTTTTGCTTGTTTAGACGCTTTCGRAGCTAGAGCTTGGGTTTTTGGCATATCGATGTCTGGGGCAGGGGCATCCGGAAGCGACTTAGAGGACGATTCCTTATCTGGTTGTCCAGTAGTTATTTCTACGAATCCGAAAATAGCAAATTAAGGCTTGTCCAATATGAAGGTAGAACATAAAATTACTTATTGAGGAAAAAAAACCATCCATGAGACCATTCAAGAGAGAATTTTGCAATTTGCATTGAGCACTTCTCATGCAATTAAGTCGGCCAAGTACTTATTTACCATTTCACCGATAATGCTCTTGATTTTATTATCGAATTCATTCCTTGTAAAAAAAAATAACTCTTACACAGTATCTTAAATTTAACATGCTTTCGAATTAATTTTTGACGTACTTTTTTCAGCACTTGGTTCGTTTCTCGACGGCAGTTCACTAGATGCCATGACCGGCTCTGCTTTCATTGGATCTGCATCTTTGGGTGTCGATAATTTAGCTGTGAAACAATATGATCATGTATATAATGAATGTTTTGTTGAACGAATAATCACAAAATATATGCAAACAGCTTGAGTAAAAACTGCCTTCRCTCCTGGATCAACTCATTCATTACCTGGTTCCTGTGAATTTCCAAACTTTGGAAGAGCATCACTGGACATGGTTGGATTACTAACTGGAATATAAGAAGTTATTTCATTTAATCTTTGAAACTGCTACGTTTCAACGCGGTTTTCGTACAAGTAGAAAACTGACTGTATAGCTCGTCCATAGCGCGGTTATGGCACATAGGCTAACGTTGTCGTGGGGCACGGTCAATTTTCCACTCAAACCAAATCATGGTAACTCTCTCTGAAACATCCCCGGGAACCCAGGGTTTGTCTTCTGTCACTCTCTCCTCGCTAACACCAAATAATAGCAAAAGTTGCTGACTTTGTAATCATTCTTAGACTACCAAATGTTCTGTTTGTATAGTCATTCTTATAGGACTTCAAAATCCAGGTTGTAGGGATTTTTTAAGACTGAAGCATTCAAAAGCTGTAGTGGTATTTTTCCTCAAAAGATATAATGATTATTTGAATTATATTTCTCAAACTCCGTTTGAAATATATGAGAATATAAGACAGGAAGAATTTTACTTACCTTGAGCAGTAGGGGAAGGTCTATATCCTGCTGACTTGATTGTCCTTGCTATGAACAAAAACAGAGTGTGAATGAAAAAAGCTATATTGATTAAACCTTGCAACTAAACTGTCATCTATAAAATAGATTTTTAAATCTAAAATAAAAAAAATTAAATTTAAAAATTTTGAGTTTGAGTTTAAGAGATACGGCTGCGTTTAGCTAAAGGGATGAGGAAGGATTGCTCAGAAAATCAATGTCTAACATTTCAGATTGATAGATTTATTTAAGCCATATTGCCACGCCTCTAAAGAAAAGAGAGCACCAAATACGATTTCTGCGATAAAATCGCATCAAAAGAGCTGAAGGATGTTTCATGAACTAATTTCTCTCGACGTGCTAGAATTAATATTTGTCATTATTGCAGCAATAGATGTGTTATTGTGTAAGGTCAAAATAGATAATCAATGCATTGCGTAAAGCTCTAGTGGGACTCACTTTCTGGCAGCTCATCTTGAGTAAAGTTTAGCGTGCTTGCTGAAAGTGATAAAAATGAAAGTGATAAAAATGATCTCATTAATAACCCCGGAAAAAAACTTAGAAATGACTTTTTTGGTAGGTTTTAGCAGGGTAGGTTTTAGCAGGGTAGGTTTTAGCAGGGTAGGTTTTAGCAGGGTATTTTGAACACTTCAACCATTTAGTAAGGACTAGTTATTTTAGTAAGGCTTGCATTATTCTGAATAGCACAAACAGCACAGGTAATCATTTACCATATAAGACATCACAATTTATACTGACAAATGCTTAACCAAACCTCCACTGTACCCTGTCACTGCAAAAATAATTTCTCTCTTTTTTGACTAAGAAAAGGAGTGAGATGAGGAAAAATAATACAATCAACAAACGTCAATTTGCACACAAGCTGGGCATATGTTCGCGTGCCAATACTCAAGATGGAGGACCACATTAAAGCAATCAAACTAGAGTTAAACTGCTAAGTCCCTCTCAAGGCATCAAGAATCTGGTCTTCATAAGTCTTAACTTCCGACCTTTTCGCAGCGCACATTATAGAAGTAAGGGTCATAAAAGAAGTTCAGCTGCCTCGAGTCCTATGTTCTGAGGACACTTGGAGAATGCCCTCTCACATAACAGTTAGTCAAAGAGTTATAGACCCAACTTAACATAATAAAACTTTTAAATTAAGATTTGAATATCTGTGGCAAACAGTACTTTATCCTTAAGATTATAAAGCTTAATTTGATTATCCTTACAAATTAATCGACACTTGTTACTTTAAGCCCCAGCAGCAAGTCTATTTTCGCTTATAACTGTCTTAACGCTGCAAAAGTTGCAGGAGTTTTAAAAGGCTAGAGCAGCAGTATAGATCTTATAAGTAAAATCCAGAAGATTATTTGAAATAGACAGTGCAAATATATGTTTCTTCTTACTGGATTCTAACTCTGGTGACACATCTGGAAGGTGACCTACTGAGCCATTCTTTGGTGTATCGTTTGGCTCCTTTGGATCATTTGGTGTATCACTGGGCTCAGTAGTTGTCATTCCTGGCCCACTTGGGCTATGATTCCGCACTTTAGGGACTTTTTTGTGCGTTTTAGGCTCTTCCAGGGAGTCTTTTGGAATTTCTGGAGCTTTAGGCGTATCTTCTGAAACTTTAGAAACTTTAGAGATGTCTTTTTTGACGTTAGGTTCGTGAAGGTCATCTACTTTAGGTGTGTCATGTGGAACTTCAGTCTCCTCAGAATCATTAGGAACATTTGGAGTATCTTGTGCATTTTCAGGAATATTAGGGACATTTTCTGAAACGTCGTGAACTTTAGGAATATCTCCTGGACTCTTAGAAACTTTAGGTACATCTTCTGGATGTCCATTGGCAGGATCTTTAGGGACATTTTCTGAAACTTCGTGAACTCTACGAATATCTTCTGGGCTCTTAGAAACTTTAGGTACATCTTCTGGATGTTCATTAGCAGGATCTTTAGGGTCATTTTCTAAAACCTTATTAACTTTAGGCGTATCGTTTTGAGCACCATTTCTTTCAGGGACCTCTGATGGAACGTCGGGACTTTTCGGTTCATCTTGGGGGACCTCAGGTGTGGTAGGATTATCGTGTCCATCAGGGAGCATTGGTGTTGAATGGTCAGTAGGATCCTTTGACGAAACAACTTGGTTTGGAATATCCTGTGGTTGTTTGGTGTCTTTTTGGTMATAATTCGAAATATCTACCCACTTCATATCCTTAGGCTCGATATGTTCAGGAGCATCTTTCATTGTATCGGAAGCATTGATGTTCTGAAGACGTTCAAGCACACTCGACTTTCTTTTGGGCTCTTAAAAACAAGAGGTATTCAACATTAGAGAACATGCCTTTTTATCTATTATTTTTATTCCTCTCCTTTCAGACTTCCTGCATGCCCTGGCCAGACAATGCTAGAGGCTGCGAAGGAAACTATACGCAATGGCATCTTTAGAAATGTTTATAAGGTCAATGAGCTTACTTGGATTCAGAATAAGGTCCTTCATCTTTGTAACTAGACCTCTTAAATTCGTTGAGTCTGGAAACAGAAAATAGAAAGTTAATAACATTCAATAAAGCTCCAGGTACGAATGTTATAGCTATAAATAATAAATTTTAATACCCGTGGGCATCAGGAACTTTTAACATCTTAAGACGAAGACCAAATGAAGCATMTAATCTTCATAATTTCAGGTAAAACTGGGTTGCAAATTTTGGATCTCACCAAAATGGCGATCTTCATTCCAAAAGAAACTAATAAAAAGGAGTTGTTTGAAAGAATGGGAATAACGCTATCCACRCGAAAATTCCGTACTTAATGCAGTGGATAAGGGATAACTTGTGTAACTGGATACCGATAATGTTACAGCCAGATGCCTTTTCCTATAGTCAGTGTACTTGCAAGAGATGTTATACCTGATTTAAATCGATGATTTTTAATGGGATCAGACACCACATCGTTCAGCGAGATYGCTCCGAGTTTAGTACTATCAACAGCGATAGAGTATATAGTAACGCCAGATTTCTTGAGCTGATCAGCAATTCTAGGCAGATCACCACGASCACCCTTRGAGGCTAGAATAATCAAGATTTTACGTGCATCTGGGCGAGCACTTCCTTCAAAGAGCTGATCTCTGACAAACTTCAAGGCCTTCGTGACTTTACTTCCTCGACTAGGCCGAGTTAGTCCGCTCAAAGCGTCTTTCACTTGTTGATTGCTAAGATGTTCGTTAAAGTCGAATGCCATATATGGTTCTGTTCCATACGTAACTACACCYAMATGAGCCCCTGAAACTGAGACCTTGAAATACTTGGCGAGATCTTGTACGAAGTCTCTAGACTGAAGGAAGGCGTCTTTCACACCCTTCAACGGTTCTTCTCCTTCCGTTCCCTCGTTACCAGGGTTCTCAATCAGGAAGCCGAGGTCGATTGCCGAGGTTTTTTTCTTTCCTGTAATTTGAGTGRATAGCATCTGTAGTATAGTGGTTAATTTGGTGGATTAATTTGTGGTGTTTATAGAAGGATGCTGAAATACTTTTGCYACGTTYGAAGTGAAATCTAATGGATGTTTTACAAGTATTGTTTCTTCTTTAAACTGTTTGTCCTCAGCTAGTAATAATGGCAGAGTACAATTAGTTTGCTTTCGAAAATTAACAAWGCGGCCTTTGAATRCCAACCAATCATTCTCGGCTGCAWAACAAATGACGAAGGAGCCCTCTGAACACACAATTTKAGTGCATAGCTAGTTTATTATATGTAGGATTTTAAATAATAGGAAAACTTTTGTTAACTGTACAAAAAAACTATTAGAATAATACTGAGATGAGATTGACATGAAAGAAATATTTGTTTGGATCCGGTCCACGATCAGGAAGTGCGCGCTGTTATAAACATCATCAACATCACCATCATCACCATTTATATCGATCGCCATGTTTGATATCCTTACTTAAATCATAACACAACATAGTAATCATGGCAGTTAATACTCGTTGATGTAATGTTGATGTCGTCTATGCGCCAGTGTTTAACAGTATTGGAGCAAATGAATATGATTTCTTACTTACCATCTTTGTCGTTGTTGCTGATGGATCGTCCTGAATATTTCACGGAAGAATAATTAGAATAATAACATCTTCTTAGGTAAAACATACGTAAAACAATAGTAATAAAAGCTTTATAAACAGCTAAAATTGAGATGCAGGTTTTTGTTGGCAATTGTTATGAAATATTTTGATGAAAATAGAGGTGAAAATRTTGWAAAAGATGGAGAACGTATATGCACTTGTCAACCTGAACTTTGTACCTCCGCGACCGCTCGACTTCAGGAGGATTTGATTTGCGTTTCGTTTCCATTTTACTCTAGATTTCTTATATTTCATTAAGCGTTTAAGAAATGCTTTTAGATTATCAGAGTTTTGTATGTAATCATTGCGGACAAGGAAGATGTTTGATCTTATGTTCTTACCTGTAGTTACGGCGACAYTCACTAGGAAAGTGAGCAAWGAAACGCCCAAATTCATCCTAACCCCCCTTAGAACCACGTACGTGACCAAACTTTACTAGATTTTACGGGAATTTTCCTAATTTATCAGCAACGAATTACCAAAGAAGGGGTTATCGTCTGATGTCACAATTTGTTTTCATTCTTACCTGCACTTGCAATGGTACCAATTACTGACGTGTTTTGTAAACATACTAAAATCGTTTGATTTGATTGGTGCTCATGGCTTGTTGTTCTTTTAAACATGTTTTTTTTCTTACCAGTCATTGGTATATGAAAATAGTCTTAACTTGGAAATTGCGCGACGGTAAAAATAACAAATAATCGCTGAGAGATAAAAAAAATGCCATTTTAATTATGATATTGCCAAAGCAATTTATATATGATTATTGTGTTGTAGTATCTTCAAGCTTTTTATCATGCTCGAGGTTATGATCTTAAAAAGTGCAATGTCACGTGATACGATGTCAAAGACAGACATTTACTCAAAACAAGGATAAGACGGCATTTTGGGAATAGATTTGATTTGATTTACATGCATATTTAATATAYTCAATTMTAAAAYAAA